TACTAAAACTAATATATATTGTATTTTTTTTAATATATATATATTTATAAATGGTTAGCAGTTACAAAAGGATTAGAGCCAAAACATTGCTTGATTTCTAAAGGTGTTTGACTGCACAAAACTGTTTCTCCTTCATCTCAGCGGTGGAAGGAAACAGTTTGACTGGAACATAAAAGAGAGGGAGACACCTCCCCACCCCCCAAAACTAACTGATGGCACTGCACCACATTTCTCTCTCCAAAATGATAAAGCTTCTTTTCTTGTCCTCTTCCGTATACATAGCAACTATTCACCAATTATAAAAGAGGGTTTAAAAATAACAGAATTGGTCTATTCTTCCTCTACTTCTTTTGGCTCATGCCTACTTGCTTAGCTGCTGTTTTGATGGCTCATCACAGTTGTTCAGGGCATGAAAGTTATGCCTGCTGGTTATCAAACCAAAAAGTTATTTGCCCTGACTCCTGCTGTAATGTAAGTACAACCAAACACTGCCTCAGTCTGTGGTAAGAAAAGTCTGGGAAAACAGGTTTTTTTCTTGGTATTAATTATTGTTTACCTCAGACCAAAATTTTTAGTACCTCTTCAAATGTCTGATCTGCGGGAAGTACATCCTAAATTATCTGCTGCCCAAGAGAGCATTAAAATGTGTGGAGTATTCTTTTTTAATAATGGGCAGCCCATTTCTGTTTTCATATATAAAAATAATCCGCCTAGGTAAAGCAAATGTATAGTTCCATCACTTCTTAAATAAAATTAATTTGCAATAAGTTTTAAATCTGTATTATTACCAATTAACTTTTTAGATATTATTAAAAAGAAAAAAATTAATTACCCACCATAGCTTTAAATTATTCACCCTTATTTCTGTTTCTACGTATCAACAAGCCTACCTATCTTCACCTTCTGTCCCTTATTCTTTACAGTGATTAAAGAATAACTGATTGGACAGAATATGCAGTAGATGGTAATACTCTGTAGATGGTAGTAGATGGTTTGTGTTAACTGTGTTACAAAACTTAATTCATACCTCTAAGTGGTATGCCTTTTTTGCTTAGAAATGCCTTTATTCAGACAGAAAGTTTGGTTCTGGATGCTAATTTGGTAAGCCATGCACACTCTGTCTTCTGCTCCATCACTCAAAATTTTAATTTACAGGTGACAAATGCACCTAGCTACAGAAAGCTTTCATTTTTCTGGAGGGGGCTGGTGTGGCATGGTCAAACGGAACTGACTTCTAACAAAGAGTAAATAGGGCCCTTGAGCAGTTAACTATACCAGCTAACTCAGCCAGTGGGGTTATTTCCCTTGTAGCTGTTTTTCACTATTCACACTGATAAAATGCTTCCCCGCTTGGTATATACACCAAAGAATAATAAGCTCAAGCTTTATGTTTGTTGCCTAACATCCTTAACAAACACATGCTGTTACTGAGCATTTTTATTGTTGGCTGGTGACAAGTTAGATTTAATAGACAGTTTTTCCTACCTCACTACTAAATTGATAAATATAGCTAATTTAAAACCTTTCCTGACATACTGCTTACATAGTTCAAATTCATTTTTATTTAAACAAAAAAATCAAAGTACTTGAAGGCCAGACATTTTACGTAAGGCAAATTCTTTAATGACTGACTAACTTCACATAAATAGCTCTTGAAAAAATACATAAAAAATAAAAATACAGTATTTGTCTACATAGTGTTTTTGTTTTGTTTTTTTTTTTCTTTTCTAGAAAGGGCACTCAGAATTAGGTAGCATTTTAGAAAAGTAAATAAGATTTTCTGCATTTCAAGTAAGCTTATGAGTTGGTAAAACCAGTTTATTGCTCTTTAATAGATTTTGTTGGTTAAACCCCCTAAATCTATGGGTTTAACATTGGACAAACTACTGCAGGCTTTTTGTCAGACTTCAGAAATTTTCTTTTGGTCTTTATCTGGCATGTGAATGAAAAAAAAAAAAAGCAAAAGCAAATGTCACAAGATAATTATACTAGGCCTGAATTGATGTACATGTTTATTATACACCTGCAGTCACTTGTCCAATTTCATTCTTTCACTGTTTAATTGAATTGCATATTCTTTTTTTATCTCTGTGGGTTTTCTTTCATTCTTTAATCCTCTTTTCTCCTAAGTTGCATATAGGACAGGCGAAATGACTCGTCAGCCGAAGGTAGCTGTGACTCACCATGCAAAGCAGAAAGCACCTACTTGACCTATTTAGGCAAAACATCCTCTTAAAATTGTTTGAGTTAGACAAGATGAGTTCCTCACTAGCTTTGAACTGGGCCTGTTTTTCTTTTTCCAGTCCTGGTTCCCTTCCTTGTATGATGTTTATTCCTATCCATCTTTTTCTTTTCCTATTTATGTGAAAATGAATGTATCTAAATGTCAGTTCTGTTGGGGTAGTACCTCTATTACTTGGTAGATTAAGAAGCAGTAACTTCTGGTCTCTCAAGGCATACCTGTTCCAAATGTAGCAAAATTATTTAATGCTTTTCTAAGGCTGAGTGTGAGGACTACAGATTACTTCAGGGACACAATGTGCATTTATCTACTCAATTCAAGAAATGTGGCAGAAATGGTACCTATAGAAACTTGAACTTGGAAGAGCAGAATAAACAATTGAGTTAATTATTTGCAGAGCTGTTTTGAGTTCAAATAGGTCTGTGCCACCTTGCAAAGAACCTAACAGTCCTAAACATACAAAGTGCTAATACATATTAATGCAATATTCAGACATACAAATCCTAGACTGCAGAATTTTTCAATCTATACAGGTAGAAATGTTATAGAAAAATATGAAAAGAAAATGATATTTCACATTCTTACTAATGTATTTTGAGGAAGAAAAATAGATTTTCATTGAAGAGGCCTTGGGAGATCTTGAAAAGATTTCTGCTTTATGCCTATATTAAGAGTTGGCCTCTTTTTCTCACACTCTCTTTCTCTGTTCCATATGTCTTTTAAAATCCAGCTGGTCACTTTGTTCCATTCTTCCATACTTAAGAGTATTTCTATCACATCCAGAACTTGTCTGTTCTTTGCACAACCAGAAAGACAATCCTACATTCACTGAGAGAAATAACTAAGGTCCCAAGAATTTACAGTGTTTCCTGGCATGGATTACAATATGAACCATTTTAATATCATATACTCAGCACCCATGAAATAAGACAAATTTTATTCATGCATCTAAACAGAGTTTATGTTACATGCTCAGTCATGGTTTGTTTTAAAAACAGAGAGCCTGATGAAAAAACAGGTAGAAAGAACTGAATGAGCAGGAGAAGCCAGTTCACAAAGTTTTAAATTACGTTGTACTGCAATTCCTTTTAAAACTCCAAAAGTGTTTTTTCTGGTCCATTAATCAAGAGAATAACTCTGATACAACCTATATGTAATACAATATGACAAATACTATATATGGCAACTGCTCTGAGCAGTAGAAGAAATTAATAAGTACTATTTACAAATTAAGATTTATGCTCCTAAATTAGGGAATTATCCAAGTATTACACTTACCAATTCCTCAAGAAAACCCCAGTGATATTATATCTCAATTTTAGTACGTAAAGCAGTGGAACTTTTGAACATTTGGTGAGATAAGGAAGAAAAACTCTAATAAAAGTGTTTATTCTGATATCCAGCTTGTTTTCAATAAAACTCACATTTAGTTTTTTATGAAGAAGGGTGTTGCAAAGCAATATTGAAGTAGGTGGCGTGGTCTCAGATTTTCAAGGTTTTAAAATTATATTTTCTTTGGAGACAATGTTATAGCTCATTTGAAATTTAATTGTAATTCAGGTAAAACTTACCTTATATGGGTAATGATGAGGGTTGTAGACGGAATGAAAAAGTCATCCACTCTGTCAAACTGCTTTCCCACTGGCTGAGTATGGATTGTGTGATGAGAAACACTCCCACTGGCTTGCGTTATCACCTACATAAAGTAACATCATTATAAACTATAGAAATATTCTTTCAAAATTTAATCTCTATGCAAATAAATTAATAAATTATTGCCTCTGTATTCCATCTCTTGTATTATCCTTCAGTTACCAAGAAAAAGAACACAAATGACAGTGAATAAAGCTGAACACCATTACAGATTTCAAAGAATTGTTACGTACCTGACCACTTAAGCTTCACATTTACTTTTTTCCTCTCCTTTCTTTTCCACCACTGACTCCATATTTATTCATTTACATTACAAAAGCCTCTAGCAGTTCTTAGTGCAAACTAAGTTTTTTGTTTACCTTTTGTTTTTTTTACACTAGATCCTAGAGTGAGATGAAATTTCTTAAGCACTTCAGCCAGAGTGAAAAGATAAGATGTTATCAACTGATCCACAGGAAGCTATGGCTAAGCATACTCCCAGTTCTTGTCAATTATGAGGTAATTCAACATAGCACAGACATATTTCAGAAGAGCAAGTTGATTTGAGTTTACGCATTCCTTAAGTTGTTATGAACCAATTTTCCTCGAATCCCCAAATCTTGGGCCTCCTCTGAGGTAAATGTTTATAGGTGAATAAAAGACAATTCCATATAATAGCCACTATGATATTCACATACTTGCACTTAAGAGCAGATTAAAAAAAAGAAAATAATCGATTATCTATATTGTAAGGACAAATGAGAGTGAAGATGATCAGTCACTTTAAAACATGGTAAGACTGACTCAATTATCGGTCATTTTCTAGTGAGAAGTGACAGCTAAACTCCCACAAATTACCTTGCATACTCATAGGTGTTTTCAAATGTTAATCATTTTTCTGCTTGAGCCCTGTGTTTGAATTTCTCTTATTCTTTATGTTATATGTATTTTTAAATACATAAGGATTTCATTAACTTCTAAAGAAAAGGAAAATAAGTTGAAATAAAAAGTAATTTTGAAATTATAACATAAAGACGATCACCATAATCTCAGGGGATTACTTTAAATAAGGAACAGAAAATCGTGAAAAAGTAGGAATGCAAGTACAGCTTCTTGAAATGTTTCTTTAGTGACTGTCCCTAGGCTTACCACTGCTCAGAGGCACAGGAAAAGAAAAGATTTTTAATATTTTATATCTGAAAAAAGCTTGTCACCTCCAGAGCGTCAATATAATTTTAGTGAAGTAAGAATATGCCTAAAATCCAGTTTATCCTCTAATTAGGGAAAAAAACATCATAAACAGCAACAGTTTGCTCTCAAAAGACTGGCAGTTACAAAATATGCTGCTGCTTTCAGCTGTATTCCTTATCCTGCTATCAGTTCAGCATTGTCACTTCTGACTAAGGATGTTGAAAATAATCTCTAACTTTTTTAGCAAAGTCAGTTGTCTGAATTGTTTTCTAGTTACCTGAAATCATTTCACTGCCCCTGCTGGGGTAATGATAATAATGCTGAAAGGAAAATATACAAAATGTTGCAATTACACAAAGGTTCAACTTGTCTGGATTTCCTTGCATATAATCATTCTGATCACCCCACCTGCAAAGTTGGTGAATCCTTTTCCATGCTTCCCCAGCTCAGCACCCAGACTTGATCATGTGATTTATCGTACTGTAGTTTCACTGGAACAGGATCTGTACTTACTGCCTGAAGAACAATAAAAATAGAAGTCCTTAGTTTCTGTCACATTTTCAGAAGAAAAGTAATATATATGCTTGACTTAAAATGATGACTGGACATGCATTTCCTGATGTTTTCAGGTTGTATTTAAAAACTGTGTTGTCAATTGTTGAAACAGCCCTCTGATTAATTCAAAGTTAGCGAAATGCTGAAAAAGTGATTTTTATTCATTATGTGCTCTAACATTTGGCATCAAAATTACATTATACTGAAGCTATTAAGCAGCTGAAAACAAAGGTTTTAAATCAAGTTAAAAAGTACTTATCTTCCTTCCCTACCATCACTCTCACTTTACATATATCAGTTTAAAAACTACACCAATTATTGGAAAATGGCTAAAAAGGGAAGAGTATTCTCAAGCCACATACTGAAATCAATTCAAGGTGTTACTACACAGTCCTACATAAAACCAACACAATGTTGCCACACCCAAAACTTCCTATCTCTGCTAAACTGGGTATATTCTGTTGAAGTTGCAAAGATTGTTTTCATGTTTTCCAATTACAATTGCTACTTTTGGTAGATTTGTGATTCCCTACAACCTTAAGCACTCTCTCTTGAGACCACAAACCTTTTAGAGACTTGAGCTCTACACTTCCTTTGTTACGAGAAGAACTGAAGACTTCAGAGGTATGAAATGGGAGGACAACGTATTTGATTAAGAGACATTCTGCATGAGGTAAACAACTGGGAGGATTACTTTTCCGGAAAAAATAAGTGGAAATTCTTTTTTAGTCTCACCATTATGGAACAGTAAAGCACAGCTTGTTTATCAGTTTGTCAAGGAGAGTACCAGCTGGCTAATTAAGTGAACCTAATTTAAACTAATGATGTAGATCCTCAAGATAATGCACTAATGGCTGGCTGAGACTGCTGATGATACTTAACTGTACTCCTGAGGTGTTGCAAGCCACAGCTTCATCTAGGCAGAATTTGGTTTTCCTTTTGAAAATGGAAAATGAAGCCAGGCTGCTCACCAGCTCATTTAAAATCAGAAAGATACCCCCTGAAAAAGGTCATTCATGTTTGATAACATTTTTCTGCTGCAGGCTAGAAGACAGGTTGTCTAAAATAATACTTGGGCTGTTGTATAGCTAATTTGTTCAGGAATGTCAAATTTGCTTTGGGCTTCCCCAGATAAAAGGTCTGACCCATATGTGTTCTGCTGAATGAGTGCCAACTACATTCAGGGTTTGGACGGTGGCACCGCCAGGAGGAGGAGAAGGAATTGCCCACGGAGTCAAGCACAGGTAAGGCTGCTCCCAAGAGAAGAGCCAGCAGCAGAAAGGAGCTGAGCGTGTTGAAAGCAGGCTTTCACAGCTGTTTCTAGCTAGCCAGGCTGATCTGCCAGCAGTACAGTGTGGACTGAACGACAACGAGCTCTGTTTACTTCAGCATGCCTCTAAGTCACCCCAGTTAATGGTGCACTGCTAAGCAATATGGGACAATTGCAGGTGACAGTGCTTGCTTTCTAGAATTTACAAAAGAAAGCAAGTATTTCTCTTAACTTTATAATGAGAATTACCTGGCTAAATCAAAAAGTCTACATATATCTCTCTAAAGATAGACCATCCATGTTTCCAATACATTTCAATTTAGTCTGCTCTAGAATCTTCTTTAAGCACTTATTTTGATAAATACTGTTTTCATAGAAATAAATCATCCTCAAATCTAGTTGTTACATATGTGCACTTATACACACATCTTTTACGTTAACTTTCAGAGTAAAAGGGAATAAATATAACACACATAGCAGTACTTCAGAGAAAACACCATAATAAGCAAAACCAAACGAACATTATTTTTACACAGAAAACAGCACAGTTACACAACTTATATGTTTTTAGTTGTCTTTAGTTTTTTTGCACCTTGACAGAATTTTTATTAAGTGCTGCTCACTTTCAAAATATGAAGTTTACTCCACATTTGTTCCTACCAGAGTATGCATTTTTGAAAACTTGGTTTTACACAGCAGATACGTGGTTTCTTCTTTAAGATATAGACTAGAAATAGTTAAAAAGTAAATATTATCCTCTGTTTTAATATGACAAGGCAGTCTAGTAAGCAAAATGCTCTCATTTATGAACAGCTTAGTATCTGTTTTCCAAAAATCAGTTACATTTTGATTTTTTTTTTCTGTGCTAGGCAGTACTATAAGCAATGAAAATAGACTGATCTGACTCAGAAATTAAACTCCCTTCCTTGCTTCCTGTTTGTATGAGTGTTTGTGTACGTGCATATGATATGAGTAGAGCAACATTTAATGGTTAGAAGAATTCTTGCTGCTTGCAAAAACCAAAACCAAAATAAATGCTTATTGTTAAAAGATAAGGAAGACAGGGCCGTGCTGGTTATAAGAAATTCCGAACAAAGTATCTCTTGACTTGTCACTAAATTCCAAATTAGCCTTACTTCAATTCTAAAAGCCATCTGCGAATCAACGGTGGTGTTATTTTTTTATAGTTTTATACTATGTGTAAAAGATTGGATAGGTTTTGTGCTTTCATGATTTGTTTTGTTTGCAACTACTTTTCCTTGTCTCTTTTTTTTTTTAAATCTATTTTGAATATCAACATGGTTAAGCTGGACACAGAGCAAGTCCCATAATACTTTTCCCATGTATTTGGCTAAGTGTATCCTAGGAAATAATTTTCAGGTCAGTAACAAATAGCAGAAATTCTGCTCAGGTGCCCAAAAGTGACAGTAACACATTTGGTTTAATTTACTTAACCGGTTCACCTGTTATCCCTTAGTCATATTGTCTTACCAAATGTCTGTGTTAATGTCGTGGTTTAACCTGGCAGGCAGCCAAATACCACGCAGCCGCTCACTCACTCCCCCCCGCCCCAGTGGGACGGGGAGAGAATCGGAAGGGTAAGAGTGAGAAAAACTCATGGGTTGAGATAAAGACAGTTTAATAAAACAGAAAAGGGAGAATAATAATGATAATGATAAAATATACAAAATAAGTGATGCACAATGCAATTGCTCACCACCCGCGCTGACCGATAACCAGGTAGCTATCGGTACTTCCTGGATCACACCCACCATTCATATACTGAGCATGACATCACATGGTATGGAATACCCCATTAGCCAGCTGAGCTGGCTGTCCTGATTATATTCCCTCCCACCTTGTGTACCTAGCTCAGTCAGTAGGCATGGGAGCTGTCCTTGGACTAGGAGGGTACTTAGCAACAACTGAAAACATCAGTGTGTTATCAACATTCTCCTCATACTAAATCCAAAACACAGCACTAGCAAGAAATTTAACCCTACCCCAGCCGAAACCAGGACAGTTAAGTATTGTGAAATGGAAAGATAATTTATCATTAATATCTAAACGTCCTAGAACCACCAAAACTGACACTTTCATTCCTGCAAAAGGTTTCCACAGATGGGATAAACTTCATTCTATACCTCCCTAAGTTCACGATCCGGATAGTATTAAAGTAATGGAAAAGCAATGCTATTCTATCCTCAAAATAAAATTACTTTGAAAGTTTTTTTTTCCTGGGCTAGCTTGAAGCTAGCTATACTTGTGGAGTATCCGGTTTTAGCTCAACATTTTTGCTAAGGAGCACAGACTTAGTGCACAAAGCTCTGTGTAACACCTAGGCATCCTGTATGTCTGTTTTTCAGCTCACTACAGAATATTTATGTGATAGAACGGCAACCTATCTAACTCCATCCCAAAACTGGAGAATCGCTTTACATATTTCTGGGGGAGGGGTGTACTTTTAATTAGTGGCTAATTTATTGAATTTTACTCTTTAATTAACATACATGATTGTGGTAATTATCTCTAAATATTCAGTTAATGGTAAAGCATTTAGTAAAATAATAACTAATGTAACTGAAGGTAAATTAGAAGAGTCTACCACTCAAACTATTCCATGAAACCTAAGTTTAGAAGAACCTCCAACTTCTCTAATATTTTTCAGTGAGCTCAAAAGGCATAATATGCTCTTGCCACTGAAGTCTAAATGCTAATAAATGCAATTAAATTGGTATTTCATCCATCAGGAAAGCAAGATGACACATGAATGTCAGCCAGAGACCAGGGAAACCATTGTCAGAGATTCCAGTCCTTAAATCTGTGGATTGCAGTAAGACTATATATTTTTTTAGTCTCTCTTCCTGAAGAAATATATTGAATTGCCTGTAAAAAAAGTCTTGTTTTCAGAAAACAAAAATTCATTACCCACTCAGTTCATCTCTACTTTGATATGCAAAGGTCAATTTAACTAAAAAAAGTAAAAGAACAAAAAAATTAATAATTTTTTATTATTAACTTTTTGAATAAAACATTTTATCAGACTCTATCACCATTTGGATAGGTCAGGTTTTGAGGAAGCTATGTCTACTGAGCCAGCTGACATAGAATATAGAAGGCAGAAATTGTAGATGTTTAAAGAATGCAAAATTATTAAAATTATTTGTCAAGCTAATGTAATTTTAAAATTGCAATTTTGCTATTTATTTTTAAATTTTACATTAATATATGTAATACATACGTATACTAACATCACAGAATCATAGAATGGTTTGGGTTGGAAGCGACCTTTAAAGGTCATCTAGTCCAACCCCCCTGCAATGAGCAGGGACATCAACTAGATCAGGTTACTCACAGCCCCATCCAATCTGACCTTGAATGTTTCCAGGGATGGAGCATCTACCACCTCTCTGGGCAACCTATTCCAGTGTTTCACCACCCTCATTATAAAAAATTTCTTCCTTGTATCTAGTCTAAATCTAGACTCCTTTAGTTTAACACCAGTACCCCTTGTCCTATTGCTATAGGCGCTATTAAAAAATCTGTCCCCAACTTCCTTATAGGACCCCTTTAAGTACTGAAAGGCCACAATAAGGTCTCCCTGGAACCTAATATGTGATATATAATCTATTCATTAAAGATTTTCATTCACTTATCAGTGAAAAAGACAAAAGGCATGAAGAAAAGCTCTATTTAAATATTTTTCTTAACAATTTAGATTAGATTTCTAATTAAAAAAATCCATGTTTTATTTAGCTAAAGAACATCTGTTTCCTAAGAATGTGATGATACTATAAGTAACCCTGTAGATGTTAGGCACGTTTGTATGATTAAAATTTGAATCAGAACACCCAGTGTGGTGTCAAAACCTCTTTATCAGTTTCACGTACAAGTGCCCTTTCTTCTCAGAATCAGAAAAGGATTGTTAACAAGTTATTAACTAGCTTCAGAGCTCTTTGCCCAGGAAATAATTTTCTTTCAGAAAAAGAAGACCCTGCTTTTAAAGTAAATGTCAAGATTTTATATGATCTTTAATGTACTTAAAAAACCCGCCACGAATACACAAACCCAACTAAAAAACAAGCCCTTTGTCTGCTGACAAGACTGTTGACAGTCCCCAACTATAATTGATTGACTTTTTTGCCACTGAAAGTGAAATAAAGCTAATCTTTCTGGTCAAATGGCATCATCCTGAAAGACTGAAGACTATATAATGAAATATATTCTATTGTATGTGTCTGATTAAAAAAAAAAAAAAAAAGGAAGAAAAATAGTGTAATATGGTGGGAATACTAGGCAGAAAACAAATAGAAAAAATATTTTAATTTTGCCTTTTCCATATGCCTTGTTAACACAAACATTTTAAGACTAAATACTCTCTTCATATTCAGAAAATATCTTTTTAGGATTTAATGAGTTTATGGCTATTATTTTTTAAATGCATTTTCACATGTCTTTAACAATTCCACAGACTGAAATCCGTCCTCATGTAAATCCCCTATTTAACCTCATAGTACAATGATATAATTTATACCACCAGATACATAAAGGAAAAAAGAGAGAGAAAGAGAGACAAGAATACAGTGGTTATAGTATTTGATTTGAGTGGTGGCAACTAAACATCAAATTTTTACTCCATCCCAGTGAGATTACTGACCACTGGGATTATATTGTGACTCTCAGGCTCTCCTGCAGAAACTGTACTGCTCCAAAAAACTAATACTCATTTTAGCATTGCCTTGTACTTTGGTCTTCCACAAACTATATGAGTGCATTAATACCTGTACCATAGCATCAATTTCTTTCTTTCACCCAATGAATTATTTTGACTAACCAGGGTATCTCCAGCATCCCAGAGACTGAGAAATTGATAGTACTACCTACATAGTAGAGAGGAATAAAGAAGTTCGAATTCACAGTCTCTAATCTTGGCTAAGGGTGGTGTTGGGTCTTCCACAATTCCAGTAATTTCTCTGTCTAAAAGCCTACTGAATAACAGCCCTCCACCTTCTGTAGCCAAACCTAACCCCCTGACTTTTCTGGTCAAAACTGATAGACGCATTCCTGTGATAAGACTCTATTTTAATGAATCTTCATTTTCAAGTAAAAAATGCCTCAAGCCAGAAACTTTCCAAAGAACTCATTTCCTCAACTATTTGATGAATATTTATATGAGGTATTTTCATGTCGATTCTCTCCCTCCCAATTGCCTATTGACAAGAACAGTCACTAAACATAAGCTGCTGCTAAATGTAAAAAGTAGATGAGCTTTTTTCTAGATATTGTGTTTACTCTCAAGCTAATTGCATTGTTTTCGAAACATGAAGGAAAACCTTAAAGTCTTGTTTCCAAAATAGATATTAACTTAAAAATTAGAAATAAATACCTGTACAACTTTCTGAGACTGTACATCAACGATAAGAACTCTGTCAAGTGTGGGCTGAGTTGCGTAAATGAACTTGTCTTTTACATTAACAGCAGTTGCCCATACACACCGCTGAACGGGATCTCCTTCGGCTTTGGGACAAACTTCATCCTATAATTCAACAGAAACAGGGAAAGAATCTAACCAGTCAACAATACAATAGAAAGACAAATTATACTCTTTTTCTTCTTTCTTAACTGTAAAATAAAATCTCAGAGAATTTAGGGAAGGAAAAAGGACAGGCAAATTAGGACATAGACTAATGTTAGCCAAACTGCATGTTGTAAGCACCACACAATTCACGAGCACTTTAGTGTAAACCATACACCAGCTTTTTTGGATCTTTTCTAGGCATTCAGGCAGTTAGCCTGAGAAAGAAACCCATTTGAAACAATAACACGTGTAGAAATAAAGTAAGCAAGAGCCAGGAGACCTTAAAAACAGAAAAACAAATTAGACACACGATGTCTCGTTACTATGCAGTAGCTAGCAGCTTCCCCATCTGCACCATCACAGTATCTTGCAAAGCAAGGCAGTTACAGACATGGCTTACACGTACATCTGAGAACACAGCAGTAAGGCAGGCAAATACTAAATTGGGAAGATGACAATGTATAAATGGAGAGGAAGAGAAGGAGGTGTGGTGCAAGTTGTCACATGGTATATGGGCAAAGCAGCGGCAGTTAGAGGGATTTGCTTTTTTGGTCACATGGAGTACTGATATGTTGCTTCAAAGGTCAAGAAGTTTGGCTGCTTCTGCTGGAAGACATTCTCATGGCCTATCTCACTAGTGTTAAACCCAATACAAATCAAATGGCTTCTTAACATCATTCCTTCTCCCTCTGCCCTTCCATCCCTGCAAAAGGATGAATTTGAAACAAAACCAAAATTCCTGTTGACTTCAGTTAATTCATATTTCATATTCATATTTCATAATACATACATTTATAACTATGCACTCTCACTCAAAATAGCTATCTGTAATTTACATGCTCACTATTCATATTTTTATATAAATATATTCCCACTCATCATATATATATTTCTACCTCTCTATTTGTAACTATTTACCCCCAGTGAAAGCTTGCTTTTATAAAAATTAAAAGTTACTTCATCAAATACGTTACCATATTTGGAAATGCCCTTCATGAAATAGCATGATTTTTTCCTATAATGGACACAAATTTATCTAAAAACAAGGACCTGAAAAATATTCTGCTTGGAGATGTACAGCATGTGCCAAGCTTTTTTGTTTTCCTGACCTATTCTTCTTTTCCCTCTAAATTTTTCTTCCTTTCATCACAAGGGGTAATTTCACTAAATCATATGTATTATTTCTTTTTAGCACTTATCTGCTGCTTATTCCTAATTTAGAATGCTCTGTCTGATACATCGTAACTGGTCGCTGTGAAAATAATTATGATATGTCAGCAGGTGATGACTTCAATGTAGAATGAACAGCAAGAGTTGATGAGATCTTAAAAAAGAATTCTGTTTCTAAGCATCAGACCCCTTTTAAAAAGAAGGGGAAAAATAACGTGACAGAACAACATATCCGGCACTAAGCAATGGTTTTCAAGAAGACGATAATGCATTTCAACTTTTCTGTATCATCAACATTCTTTACCTGCCATGCCTCTGTACGTTTGAGAAAATACACTCAATCTTTATATGTCAAAATAAGAAATAAATCAATTTCCAGCTCTAACAGAGGGAGTTTCTGTACAGCAGATCGAAAGCCACTGTTTGGTCCTATGTGGTTCTTAAACCTCAATAAAGGAAAGATCTTTCAGAAATCACATTGATAAGGAAAGGTTACTAAACTCAGGTATCATGGGATGGCACATAATCAGGAACTTCAGCAGAACTTAGAAATGAGTAAAAAGAGTAAGATTTATTTTGCACTGCCATACACTTTGAAGGGAGGAGTCTAAAATCTGTTTTTTAAAGCATGATAGGCACGGTGACAAACGGGACTTTCATTCTTAAATGTGGCTAAAAGCTTTTCATCGCATAAAGTGAAATTTCAACATAAACAAGTACGTCTCTAATGTCATGTACAATCATCAGATCAACGATCTATTGCCATTTGCCTGCTGTGCAATTGTCACTTCAGTTGGAAGGGTGTTTTACCGATGTCAAATATTTTTTATATTTATTCTAAATATGACTTGTCTTAGTTCCATGTTTTAACTAAACCGATAACTACTTTTAGACTGTTCCACAGAGTCTTCTTTCTTCCTCAGAGAACACCTTCTTCAAATAATGCATCTGTAAATGTTTACAACAACGCTATACTGTGTCATTCTTTTCAGTCATGTCTCTCAGGAACTCACCTTAGTTTACCCCCGTTTTTGGTTCTGTGAATTCTACAAGGACACATTCAACACATTATTCAAAAATAACACCAACCCCTGCTGAAGGAATTGAGGTTTCTCTCACATGGCATCATATAGATTAGTGTAAATGATTACAACAATCATACCTCCCATTGTGGGAAGTATAGCAGAGCAGGAAAATATGTAAGTTAAACACTTATAACTATATCCAGAGTTAAGCCACCTCCTTAAACATTTTCCTGAATCTGAGTCTAAAATACTGACTGAAGTGTATTTCTAAATATTATTTCAATGTAAAAGCAATAAAAATATAGGGGTTTTATATATGTCTATAGATGTATACATGCACATATATATTTAAATTAGAAACTACAGGACATGATTCTTATTATCTACGTAATTCATAAAACTTGCTCCTCTTCTTCCACTTTAAATACAGCAAGTAGAAAGTACAACACTTTCTCAGATCTAAAGTAAAAAATATTAAGTAAAAAATAAATCTACATATACAAATGCAGTTTACTGGTTCTAGAATATTATTTATGTTGTCATAAATTTCTATAATCCAATGCCAACTCTCACTTTGCTCCAAAAAATGAAAAATTAAAACAAAAGCAAAAAAAGTGTTTTTTCAAAGTAACACTGAAAATTATGTGTATCCAAAATAGAGTTCCCCAGCATGAATCGGTTTATGCAGTTGTTTTCTATAGTTATTCAAATGCACATTTATCTAGATGCCCCAGAAATAGCTTCAATCAATGGAACTGAAATCTTGCTTTTGAAAAGTTAACATTTATCTGATTAAACAGTTTAGATTTCTTTTACATTACAGGCAGTAATTCTGAGGCTCTATATTCATTTCCCTAGTGATCAGGTAATTGGTTAAAATAATTTCTCCTTAAAATATAAGCATAAAACCACCCTTTTCTTCTTCTAATTAAAATGTAAGCAATTTACTTTTTCCTAATTTAGGAAAAAAGCTAACATCTGATAAAACATTAATTTATTTCATTGTTTTTTTTCCCCCAGACTTTTTAATCAAAAAGTGACTTGCCCTGTAACAAGTCAGCAGATGGAGGAAAATAAATCCTTCAAGAAAGTTTTTTAAGGTAGTCTGGGGCAAGAAATTCCCAAGAGAAAACGTGTACTTGTAGACTTATATGTGCAAATTCTATGTTTATAAACGTACACTTAATGCAAGGGTCCTCAGTGTTCTAACAAGATTTAAGTCAAGCTCTTTAAGCAGTATAATGAAATGTCTAGCTATGCTATGACTGTCCAAGAGTAAGATGACATCAACAGGTTACAACAGTGCATGTATTAAGACATGAATTTATATATCACTTATTCTATATTAAGTTACTGTTTACTTGACATTCTGTAATAAAAATCAGACTGCGGACCTTTTTCACATTTTTTTCAAAAAACAAAGGTTAACAATCTTGCATTTACTACACTTGCTGTGCTGTAAGAGTGTAAACCAAAGCAATTTCTGTGGACTAACAAGTGTGTTTCAAGTTCATTTCCTGTGGAAACTTTGCTCTGTCATGTAGTCACATTAATTATTTTGAAATTAAGTATTTTGCTCCCACCTCCAGCACATATTCATCTTCAAGTGTGGATGGCCTAGTTCACTGAAATATGGCCATTATGCGCTAGTCCTTGTAATAAAGAGGAAATCAGGATTATCTTGAAACCAAAAGGATTTTTCCACTGGTCTCAACAAAGGCATATGTTTTAATTGCTTCTTTCCCCACCCCCAGCTTCCTGAAATAATTATTCTAATTTGGATTCATTGGGAAGGGAAAATAAAAACACTTTTGCATAAGAATTAGAATTTAAAGGCTTTGGATAGCATTAATTTGCAGAAGAAAAATAGAGATTGCATGTTAGTGAGGAAATGTCCCAAACACTTCAGAATGATGAGACATTTAACAGCGGAAAGACTCTACTTGGACCATGGTTAAGAATCTATTTGACAACAGGTTAAACAAACAGCTGTTGAAGTTGGTATAACTAAACAATAACCTGCATCAGAAAACAGAAATAAGTTTATTTCTGTCCCTATGCATCTAGAATTGTCAATATCAGTTTAATAAAAGCCTACTTTCATTTGACATTAATTTAGAAAATTCAAGTAATTTAGGAGATTCTGGGAAGGAGAGGAGGAAGCTCCTTATATTCCTCTGAACCACGATGATCCAGTAAAGCACTAAATCTTTTGCTTCACTTTAAACACAATGAAAGTCTAACTGATTCCCATGTTAGACACACACTAAAGTGCTTTGCTGTATTGACACTCAATTGCACAAGAGGCAATTAAATATTTAGATAAGGGTTCTCAAGTATATAGTTACTGAGAAATTGTATTTACTTCTAGCAAAATTAGCATACCTAAATATGTACCTGTGTAACTACTGCAACATTTGTTCACAATACAATGCAATGCCATGTAGAAACATCTGAGTTCATTCTTTTACAGGAGCTCAGCTAAGGGTAATTTATTTTGTTGACAGGCAAACAGGAAACTTGGGGAGGAATACTGAAGTATCACATGCAATATCCAGACATTTTCTGTAACACTTCTAGTACCTAAACTGCACTGCAGAATTTAGAAATGTTCCTACACTTTAGCAAATGTTTGGCAATGAAACAGGTCTACTGGGTTTTACTTATCACTTGAACAGCTAATTTAGAAAAGTGTAAAGAAATGGGAAAGGTTTAAGCAAACATATATATGTTAAGAGATAAGTGATGGAGATTTTATTGGCGATAGCTGCTGTAGATGTGAAAGGCTATGTAAAGCCACCTCAAAACATGCAGTATACCAACATTTCTGATTAGTAAAGTTATATGACAAAGTCAAAGAGAATTACTAATGAGAATTTATGACATGAACTCTTACCACTAAACAATCACATGCTGAAATTGATAAAAATCTGATCCTGGGACAGAACTGGGTTATTTTATTATTCTTATTTAGAGAACACAGATTTTCCAGAGAGGCTTGAGGAAGAAATGGTATTCTTCAAAGGAGGAAACAGTTGTCTAAAGCTTCATAGTCAATGAGTTTTTTTCAAGAATATACTACTGTTGTCGTAGTATTAGCAGTGTATGAGGGAACTGTTTTAAACTCATGTTTCACCCTTATTCTAGGAGGAAAGTAATCTTAAAGGTTTTTTTTTCAAAATTTCAAATTTTTTACTGAAAACTCTTTCTCGATTTTTTCATTTTTTGGAATGCAAAGTCAACAATGATGTCAGTATGAGTAGAAAAACATAAGGATATATTTTCCAAATATTTCTGATTTCTATTGCAGGAATAAAGATTTATTAACCACTATATGTAAGGGAAGATGTGTTCAGGGGAATAAGTAGAAATATTGTTGAATTTAATGGGCAAAATGACATGCACATAGGTACAAAGCTTCATTGCTGGTTATATATTTACCACACCCACCCACAAACCAAAGATATCCAAAGAAGGACAAGTCTATACCTACTCTAAAATGAACTTTATCAAGTAGTCTACTTTCCTGGTCTCTCCTTTTTTTTTGTGGGAAACGCATAATTACTATGCTACTTTAGTTTTGAAAGCTACAAAAAGGAAACAAGCTTGACTTACCCATCCTGATTATTACATTTCAATAAAAATACACTTAAAATCTAGGCTGCACTTTAGACCAATAAAATTTTAACAGACTTCTTAAATAATCAACTTTTGAATTAACAGCCATAAAAAAGCTCTTTGGCTTATTTTTGGCTATGTCAACCTAATTTCACTGAAGCAGAAATCAAGGTATGATTAGCTGTTCAAAGCATAATTATTCACAGTAAAATAAATCTTGCTGCTGAGTACAGCAGCCTTTGACATCAATAATGATAACTGAAGAGGCAAATTCCATTGAGACAGTTCTGCTGTTGTTTCAGTGTGCTTTAGATATTAGGGAAAAAACCCCAAAGTGTACTCATGGGTTATAACATATTTCAAGGTCACTCATTCAAATCCAAATAATGAGAAAAAGTTACTATTTTTGAAAAGTGATAGATCATATAGAACAAGTCTTAATGCAGTGACTAGTACCAAGTGTTCCTGTGAGAACATGCATCGTGTTAGCTAGCAATTTGATTAGCAGTAAAAGAAAAACAACAAAAGAATAAATGGAAGTGGAGAATACAACTACTGTTTTTATGTATGCGACACATGGAATATGCTACACATAGAAACTACTCCATAAATGCACCGAATTTGATGAAATCAGCTATAAATCTGTTAACAATAAAGTTATTGAAACTACTTATATGAATTGTAAGTTGGAGTCAAAGCATCAATCATCTCTACTAACTTCAGTGGAGCTGTAAGACTGTTTATCAGGATAGGGATTTGCCTCATGATAGCCTGACAGTTTAATATAGACAAACATCCAATGGAGGAAAAAAAAACTTAAAAAATAGTAACTTTAGCTCTTATATTTAATAGAGAGAGAATCAATCCCTGATTCACAGAGATGCACTTAACTGGGGGGGAGGTGAGAAAAAACAACAACAACCACCACCACCAAACTAGAAATAAAGAGTAGAGAGTTGTTAAAGAAAGGACTGGGAAAAGAGAAAGACAGTTAAAGAAAATAAAGGATTTGAAAAGTATACAGGGAATACTCAATCTAAAAGAAAGATTGAAAGTTTGATTTTGATCAAGGAAAATACAGAAAATTTTGAGTACACCACTATAAGCTACTTATTAATTGAGAAGATATGTTTGAATTTATCAAGCAGAAAACACTAAACTAGCAACAATAAATTCTTATTTAAAGAAAACACTACAAATAAATTTAAAAAAAATAACTTGCCTGAAAACCGAGGAGTTTTTCACTAGGCTTAATATGTCTCTGAAATTCACATTCCACTGGTTGTATTACTTTGATGCCATCTTCATAAAAAACATAAAACATGTTCCCAATTCCCAGACCTTAGGAACAAAAACACATTGAAATGTATAAAATTAAATAATGTCAAAAAAGAAAATCCTTGTCTTGAACTAAAAACTTCACATTTTTGGTAGGAGATCAATTTGTTAAAGTGTATAGTGCTAATACAGCTAATCCTATGGGATCTTTTATTGTAAAATGAAAACAAAACCATTACGTTATTCAGAATTTCACATAGTTTTCTCCATTGGCAAGACAGTGTCTTTATGAATACAGATCTAGAAACACATAGTTTGACAGTTGCAGTAAAGAAAGTGATCTTGTGAAATCATCTACATTGAAATCAAATTAATATAAATTCTCCATGTATTCTTGTTTTTCTTTTTCTGACGGATGGAAGTGTTAAAGTAATTTCTGTGTAACATTGAAAGGCAAGTTCTGAATCTTTGTTATAAACCCTTATTTGACATTTTTTTCAGTCAGAAAAGGAAATATTATCTATTGGATTTTATTGGAAAGCCACAGTTGGGCAGATATTCATTCCAAGTTTGAAGGGTCACAAACGTTTATAGAACTATTCAATCCTTCTGCCGCCATGTTGCTGAATGAGAAGCAATGTTGCTGAGTCATGTAATGTTTTGTGGAGAAGGTGGGAACCAGATCTGTAGCATGAAGTCTCATAATACCTGTGGTCATGCTCATGACCACAAAAAATGACATTCTACTTAGTTTACGATGTGCCAATTAAGACAACAGTTGATGATTTGCTATGTGGCTATGATGGATGATCAGTTCATATTTGTAAAGTTCTATGAAGAAAATCACAGTACTCATAAAATTACCATTATAACCAATTCTGACAGCTAAACAATGATAAAAATGTACGTGTATCCTTGGTACAGGGCCTAAGCTTCCACTTGACATAACAATATTTGGTATAGGAACACAGGGGAATAAAACCCAGGAAAAATAAATTTGAGTCTGAAATTCTACTTATCTTAAATTCTGAAGGAAAACCTACATTAATAGAGAGAGAACACATCTTAATCTCAAATAAAATAATGAGAACATTAACGTGGGGAGAGAAGTGTGTGTTTGTGTATAGATATATGTGTGTACATCCATACATAAAAGTTCCCAGTCCCCGTTAGGAATCACATACGTAATATAGTCATTTAAAAGGTAATAGTAATATGCATAAGGTTGTCAGGCCATGTCCAGAACAAGCAAATTCAATTATCTTTGAGAAATCTTGCGGAATCATTTCCTACTTCTGGCCAAGTTTTCCTAAAAAGAAGGAAGGGACAGTCTCCTAGCAGGGTTTTCCTCATTTTATATCAAATCTATCTATTAATAGGCTACCAAAAAGTAGGAGAGGAATTTGTCTATGCTGCTTTTGATGTAGCATAGAATTAGGCTCAGGTTCGAGGAAAACTTACCAATCATGTCTATTCTGAGCATAAGCTGCACTAAGGGCAATATGCCCGCTCTGGCCAATAGGATACTTTTATATGCCTTTGCACGTAAATCATACAGCCTATGTAAGATAGTATGTCAAGGTCTGTCTTTAAAAAATGCCTGACATTGTATCCTGTAAGAACAGCTGGAATTTGTAGATAACCCTGACTGAGATTAGGCTGCCCCTACCAGTGAACACAGTGTAGAGACCTATAGTTGAGCAACTGGCTTATTGTATCTTGGTGATAAATAAATATGTGGAGTTGGCTGGGAACAAAACAAGGTTTTCCCTTCTCCATGGTCTCGCTGACTAAAGTATATTATAGTTATTAGCAGGATAAGTAATACCAGACATGAGGAAGTAAATCAGCTGATAGCCCCAAGTGATACAGACATTTCATAGAATCATAGAATCATAGAATCATTAAGGTTGGAAAAGACCTTTAAGATCATCGAGTCCAACCGCCAACCCAACACTACCATGCCCACTAAACCATGTCCCTAAGTGCCTCATCTACACGTCTTTTAAATACCTCCAGGGATGGTGACTCCACCACTTCCCTGGGCAGCCTGGTCCAAGGCCTGACCACTCTTTCAGGAAAGAAGTTTTTCCTAATGTCCAGTCTAAACCTCCCCTGGCGCAACTTGAGGCCATTTCCTCTCGTCCTATCGCTAGTTACTTGGGAGAAGAGACCAACACCCACCTCGCTACAACCTCCTTGCAGGTAGTTGTAGAGCGCGATGAGGTCTCCCCTCAGCCTCCTCTTCTCCAGGCTACACAGCCCCAGTTCCCTCAGCCGCTCCTCATAAGACTTGTTCTCTAGACCCTTCACCAGCTTCGTTGCCCTTCTCTGGACACGCCCCAGCACCTCAATGTCCTTCTTGTAGTGCGGGGCCCAAAACTGGACACAGTATTCGAGGTGCGGCCTCACCAGTGCTGAGTACAGGGGCACGATCCCCTCCCTACTCCTGCTGGCCACACTATTTCTGATACAGGCCAGGATGCCTGCCAGGATAAACAGAATCCTGAAACTTCCTCCTCAGTTGCCAATACCCCAAGGCAGGCTTTCCAATGTACAGATATGTTCGTGTATAGCAACCCAGCCCAAACTTTTAAGGCTTTATTTCCAATGTCTGGATGTTCACCAAACTGTTCTTCAGTATCAGTGAAGGAGACACAGTAAGAAATGTCCTTCTTCCATTTCAATACTGAGTTAGGGAAGTCAGTTCATATGGATCCAACGAAATAATCATAGAATCATAGACTCATTTAAGTTGGAAAAGACCTAAGATGATCGAGCCCAGCTGTTAACCTAACACTGCCAAGTCCACCACTAAACCATGTCCCTAAACACCACAGCTACACGTCTTTTAAATACCTCCAGGGATGGTGACTCCACCACTTCCCTGGGCAGCCTGTTCATACCCCTTTCGGTGAAGAAGTTTGTCCTCCCATCCAATCTAAACCTTCCCTGGTGCAACTTGAGGCCATTTCCTCTTGTCCTAGTGCTTATGACTTGGGAGAAGAGACTGACACCCACCTCGCTACAACCTCCTTCCAGGTAGTTGTACAGAGCGGTAAGGTCTCCCCTCAGCCTCCTCTTCTCCAGGCTAAACAACCCCAGTTCCCTCAGCCGCTCCTCATAAGACTTGTGCTCTACACCCTTCGCCAGCTTCATTGCTTTTCTTTGGACATGCTCCAGCACTTCAATGTCCTTCTTGTAGTGAGGGGCCCAAAACTGAACACAGGATTCAAGGTGCGGCCTCACCAGTGCCAAGTACAGGGGGACAATCATTTCCCTACTCCTGCTGGCTACACTATTTCTGATACAAGCGAGGATGCTATTGGCCTTCTTGGCCATCTGGGCACACTGCTGGCTCATATTCAGCTGGCTGTTGATCAACACCCCCAGGTCCTTTTCTGTTTTCCAGCCACTCTTCCCCAAGCCTGTAGCATTGCATGTGGTTGCTGTGACCCAAGTGCAGGACCCGGCACTTAGCCTTGTTGAATCTCATACAGTTGGCCTCGGCCCATTGATCCAGCCTATCCCTCTGAAGAGCCTTCCTACCCTCACGCAGATCAACATTCCTGCCCAACTTGGTGTCGTCTGCAAACTTACTGAGGGAGCACTCACTCCCCTCGTCCAGATGC